TCTCCAGCATGTGGAGGTTTCATTCATTATTTATTTATATTAAACTTTTTTATATTATAATTTATTACAAAAGTAATACATGCTCATTGTAACAAGTTTTCAAGATAGACAAGATGAAAGTGTGGATATCCTTCCATACCTTTTCCTAGGCTGATAAAAACACATAGACACAAATATAGGTATTTCTCTACCCTCCTTTATATTTTTATAAAAAAAGGAGATCATGCTAGACAACTAATAAAATCTGAATTAGGGCCATAGATTAGATAGAAGTATTGATCAATGTTAATTTGTTGATATGAGAGATTCCTTCTATTTGGGAAATACACACTCATGGATTTAGGAATAAAGGGGCATCATGTCTACAACATACTCTTAAACAGTTTAGAAAAAAATACAGAGAAATAAGAGGGAAGGATAAAGCAACTGTAGTAAAATGTTAACGGCTGGGCGATCTGGGTGAAGTTTATCCTGGAATTCTTCCTTCTTTTATTGCAACTTTTCTGTAAGTCTGAAATACTGTGATGCCATACATCTTACTCGGTGACTTGCATTTTTCACTTGATGATATACAACAAACATTTTTTCGAGGTCAATACATACAGTTCCTACTCATCCTCTTTAATAGCTCCTAATGCTCCACAAAGGGAGCTCTGGTGGTGCAGTGGTTAAGCTCTCGGCCGCTTAACCAAAAGGTTTGAGGTTCAAACTCACCAGCCTCTCCGCGGGAGAAAGATGCCACAGTCTGCTTCCGTACAGCCTTGGAAGCCCTATGGGGCAGTTCTACTTTGTCAGGTATAGGATCGCTATGAGTTAGAATTCGACTTGACGGCAATGGGTTTGGTTTTTGATAATGCTCCATTGTGTGAATACATTCTAATTTATCCAACCACTCCCGTATTTATGAATTTGACTTTAAATGCAACCTTAATTATAAATTAAGGGCTCACATACATTTGTATCTGTTTCCAGACTCTATTTTGTTCCATTGATCTACTTGCTTTTGATAATGCCATCCTGTTTTGAGCGTTACAAGGTCTAATATATGGTTGGGCAGGATCCTAGTTGCTATTCTTTTACTTTATGAAATTTTCATTGAAGTTCTTGTACATTTTTCCTCCCATATGAACTAGAATTTTTCCTCTACATGCATCTTAAGATCATTTTTACCTAGTTCTAAACAAACAAAAACAAAGATCTTGTAGGGGTATCTAATTGAAATGGCATTAATTTGACAGTGTACTCTGGAACATGGTGTCTCTTTCATGTGGAGATATTTAAAGCAAACCTAAATAAATAAATGAACTATGTAAACAGAGATCGTCGGAATTAAAACATACTTTGGGGGCTCCAATCCTTAAGACTATTTGAGTCTCTTTTCAACTCACCTCCTGCTGTGGAGATCTACGGGCGAAAGGACCCAGCTGCGTTTAGAAAGGTTGACTCATGATGCGTGGTATTATTTAGCTCTCCCTCACACATGTCTGTCAGTGGTCCTTGGCACACTTCACTATTTGTTATCCTCGTTTTACAGATGGAGAAACAGAAGGTTGGAGAGGTGGAATGACTTCCCACTAGAAGACATTAAACCTAGCAGTGGCAGCACCAGCCTGATGCCCAAGGTTTTCTTGGGAATCTGTCACATCTGCCCTGATCTGATCTTTGGCTCCTCAAGGGCTGCTGCTACTTGTCTTCTCTTTGGCAGCTCCCTAAATAACCTCAGACATCCACACACAAGGTGGCACTTGGTTGGGGGGCTGAGGGGAGAGGGCCAGTCTACTGTTCCCAAGGAAAAGGCTGCCTACAGGATGACCAGCTTCATTTTTTCACAAAGCTGCTTAGTTTCCAGTCTTAGGGATCAAAGAAAATCTTCCCCAAAGTGAACACTTGCTGTCAAGTCCTGCATCTGCTGCCCCGCTTCCCAGGCTGTATCTCTGCCTGTCTGAAGTGGACCCATTCTTCAAAGCCCAACTTAAATGCCACCTCATCCACAGAGCCTTTTCTGATTTCTTTTTTCCTCCCAGGCTCTCCTTCCCGACAAGCTGAGTACAAACCCACATTTTTTTCTATTCTTTTTTTCAGCTGTATTTTTCCAAATTTTATTTTGTGCCAATTTTGAAAAAGTTGATTTAAATGCCTTCATTTATTATTTTAGAATGCCTTCTTTGTTTCCACAATCTTTTGAGCCCACCTTTTTTGGAAAGAATTCACTTTTTGTGGTGACTGTTAACAGTTGGGCAATCTGGGTGAAGCTGTAGTGATTAAATGGTTGGCCTCTCTGAACCCTTATCCATAAAACAGAAATATCTACCTCAGAGGGCTGCTGTGAGGACTGAGTTAAAGAAAATAATATATGTAAAGCACCGTGCTAGGCACACAGGATGCTCTCAATACTCGTTATACCAATGTTATCACCCTCAAACATGCACACAGACAGACCTGTGGGACCACACACAAATTTTACCCGTATGTTAAGGCACTTCTCCTTTCTACCTCATATAATTATTATTTGTGTGGACTGTAGGCTCCTTGAGATCCCTGGGTTACGGTTTGCTGTCATCTACTAACCTAAAGGTTGATGGTTAGAACCCACCCGATGGCACCACGAAAGAAAGACCTGGCGATCTGCTTCTGTAAAGATTACAACCCAGAAAACCCTCTAGAGCAGTTCTACTCTGTAATGCATGGGGTCACCATGAGTCAGAATCAACAGCAATGGGTTTATGGGTAGGCTTCTTGCGGGTAGGGAAAATAGGATGTATTGGAAAGAAACAGGATTTGGAATTAAAAGATCTAGTTGGGCCTCAATCAGTTGTGTAACTGAGGACAAGTTACTTCTCCCTGAGCTTTGGTTTGTTCCTCCATAAAAGGGGGGTAACAATAAAATGTGTTTTATAATCTCGTCATGCACATTAACAAAATAAGATAATGAATGCCTAAGGGCTTTAGAGATTGCCAAGCCACTAATGTATTATATCCCAATTGCCCTTGTTTATTTCCCAGAAAGAGCAAGGGGCGGGAGCTTTGCTCTGGTGGTGGTAGTGGTGGTAGGTTCACAAATGAAGATTTGTTAAATAAGTAGCCCATTGCACTGGCTTCATTTGGTCTTCACAGTTTCTCTCTGAGATAAGCTTTAATATGTTTTGGATTGAAATATGTAAACCATAACCTCTATGCCTGTGGTTATAATCCCATTTGGGAATGGGTTGTTTTTGTTATGTTAATGAGGCAGGATTAGTGTAGGGTGTGTCTTGAGCCAATCTCTTTTTCAAAATAAAACAGATTAAACAAGGGGGCAGAGGACAGATTGGGTAAGATAAATGCCAAGACATGTGTCCATCTCCAAGGAACCACGAAGCAGAACCTGGCAGAGAAAGAAGGACCTTCCTCAAGAACTGACACAGAGAAAGCCTTCCCCTATGAGCTGGTGCCCTGAATTCAGAGTTCTAACTTCTTAAACTGTGAGAGAATAAATTTGTTTGTTAAAGCCATCCATTTGTGGTATTTCTGTTATTGCAGCACTAGATAACTAAAATAATATCCCATTTCAAAGATGAGCAAACTGAGGTTTGGGGTGGGTAAAGTGCTTCATTCTTTCATTCAACAGTGGTTTATTTATATGATTACTGTGCATCAGACACTCAGATGCTGGGGATACAAAGATGATTAAAAAAAAACTCTGCCCTCAAGGAATTTACAGTTCAGAGTGCAGGACAGACATAAAGATAACACAAAGGGAAACATGAATTACAGCTACTATTTATTGGGTACTTACTAAGTGCCAGTCACTGCTATAAACTCTTCATGTTTTACTCACTCAATCCTCCCAAAACTTTATGAGCTAGGTACCAATATTATTCACATTTCTCATATATCCACAGATGAGGAAACCAAGGCATGATGATTAATTAGCTCAAGGTTTCATAACTAGCAAGTGGCAAAGACAGGATTAACATCCAGTCATTCGGTGCCACAGGCCCCATCTTAGCAGAAAGCTCTAGCGTCTCGAATAGTAAGGACACACAGGGCCCTGAAGGGAGACATCTAACTGAGCCTGGGGTTCATGGTGGTCAGAGGAGGTTTCCTGAGGGACTAGAAATTAGCCAGGCAGAGAAGGTGTGTGGGGAAGGCAGGTTGTTCCAGGAGAGGGGAAGGTGTGGAGGCGATCAAGTCCTGGCAGGGGTTGGGGCCTGTGAGGAGGCTGTAGAAGCAGGCCAGACCCAGCCTAGGAAGGAGTTTGGTTCCTATCCTAGAGGAAGCTGGAGATTTTAAGCAGAGGAGTGACTTGGCCACTCAGATATTTAGAAAGATCATCCTGACAGCCGGGAGGGAGGTAGGCTCTGAATAATCCAGACTGGACAAGGGCTGGGACAGTGGGGAGGAGAGAACAGAAATGTAGGAGGTGGAGTTTTCCGGATAATGGTGATTTGGGTGGTGTTTGTAAGAAGGAAGGAGCCCGTGGCGCAGTGGTTAAGCATTTGGCTGCTAACTGAAATGTCGGCGGCTGGAACCCACCAGCAGCTCCGCGGATGAAAGATGTGGCAGTCGCCTATAGTAAAGATTATAGCCTTGGAAACCTTACGAGGCAGTTCTGCTCTGACCTATAGGGTCGCTATGAGTTGGAACCGACTCTCCCGCAATGGTTATGGGTAAGAAGGAGAGGGAGCGCAATTTTGGAGGACACTCAGTTGCCAGCCCTAATCCAGGGGTGTGGGGGTAATCTAATGAGGTCAATTTTGGATGTGCGCCTAGATTTTCTGGCGCCTAGTCCCGTGTGCTTTCATTTCCTCGAGCTCCCAACGACGATGCCGGCTGGGGGCCACAGGGGAACAGGACCTTCCCGGCGGACAAGCGAATTGAGAGCCCCTCGGCCGGAATAGGCGAGGTGCAGTGCGCTATCCTGGGCACCAGAGGGCGACCCCGAGCATGCTTGGGCCGTTCTGGCCCAGCTCGTCTCGTTGGCCGCGGAAGGTGACGTGGACACGGAAGTGGTAGTCGTCGCGGCTGCACCGGTGGGAGCGGGGCGCGGGAGTCGGTGTGTGGCCGGCGGGCGGACGGGTTGCGGCGGCCTCGCACTAGCGGTGGCCGAGGTCGCAGGCGTTGTCGGTTGGCTGCGAGTTTGGTGAACAGAGGAGTGGCCTCTCAGCCCCTTTCTCTTGCCGGTCAGAGCCCCAGAGCCGCGTCCCGCTTAGCCGGCGTCACAATGACCAAGGCCAGTAGCAAGGGCGGGAGTCTCCGCGACAAGCTGGACGGCAACGAGCTAGACCTGAGCCTCAACAACCTAAACGAGGTCCCCGTCAAGGAGCTGGTCAGTACAGTCCCGCGAGGCCCGGGCGCCCATCCGCGCCTGGCGTCGGCCCCTGTTTGGGCCGCCTCCCTTCCCCTGCCTTATTTTCCGGGTCTTTAAAACGAAGAGGGTGGTACTAGGTTCCCGGGGAGGTCGCGTCCGTCCCCAGTGTTCTACTCAGGATGTACACGTGTCACTTTGGCGCAGTTCCAGGAGACGGAGGATTTGCCTGTCCAGCCCAGGGTTTTTTACGGACCAGGAGCGAATCTGCCCCCATTTAGGGGGGCTCCCACATCGCCCAGCTGCGTGTCCGGCCCAACGTAGGCTCCTCCGGAGCGGTTGCTAGATGTATTCGAAAATGAATGACCAAATGAATGAATGACTCGGTCTAGCAAGTAGGCCTCCTGTTAGACTTGGGTGTGGCCCAGGACCGGTCCTTTCTAGGAAGTCGGCAGTCCCTGCTGGCTGTCCCATCCCTGAGCGACCTCCCTTGAAGAATGCACATTTCACCGCTTGGTTGGTAAGGTCTCATCCAAACTGCTGAAATTGGCGGGAATCCTGCACCGCTGCCACTGCCACCCCTTTACCCACCCTGACCCCACCCCTAGGAAGGTGAGGCCTGAAGCCCCAGGGATATTATACAATTGGTTCTATGCCAGCGTGGAGCTAGATCCCACATCCTCTGCTCCCCCCACCCCCATGACTACACTTTTCTCACTGCAGTTACATTTGTCTTCTGCACTTGGCTCTCAGTCTCTCCACCGTGGCAGTGTATTATGTTGGTTAGAAAGGGTTTCCCAAGTTCAAATCCCAGCACCATTGCTTAATAACTGAGTGCCCTTGGCAAGCCAGTTGACCTTTATGCCTAGGTTTCCTCATTTATAAAATATGGGGGTAGTATTTCCCATCTCACAGGGATGTTGTGAGGATTGAATACGATTATACATATAATATGCTTGGCAGGTAGCAAATGCTGATGCACACAGCTGTTATCATGGTGTTTTTCCCACAGTAACATATAAAACTTTTTTAAGTGACCAAACTTCATTCTTGGAACTTTCTGACAGTGGAAAGTGCAGCTTGGCCTAGGGTTCTTAACTGAATGTTTGCCTCTTTCCCACCCCAAGAAGACAGCCAGCTTTGGGTCAGCTGTCCAAAACCTTGAACTCCAGGCAGATGGTTAGCGCAGCATTGCCCCTAGGGAGAAAGAAGGCTCCGTTTTGCTGAGCCTCCCCAGCCCTGAACACCGAGGGGAGAAAGAGATGGGCTGCTGGGCTGCGAGGGCCTCGATTTTACTTTGTCTCTCTCTTTTTTTAAATTTTTTTATTGTGCTTTACGTGAATGTTGAGCTTCACTTTGGCATTCACTCATTGAGTCCTTCATTCAGTCATGATTCAGCCAGCACACGAATGGACTGCTGCTCTGAGGAAGGCCCTGAACTGGGGGATGTGGGAGTTACAAAGCTATAATATACGCAGTCCCTGCCGTGAAACCTAATAAGGGGTACAGTCCATACATACATAATAATATTAGGTATAAAGCGATAGGGGCTACTAGAGGAAATTTTTAAAGTGACGCAGATAATTTCTAAGAAACTTAAGTTCCTTTCTTCGATGTTCCACAGCCTACAGCCCTGCTCTTTGCATTCTTCCCTAGATAGTTGTTGACGGGCTCATTTTCCCCTCTTCTATCCCCAGGAACATTATACAGTACTTTAGTGCCATTTTTTTTTTTTTTAAGGCCTTTCTTAATCTTGAGAACTTTCTCGGGAAAATCCTTCATTGGCAGATGATGCTGAATGATTCCAGGTGTTAGTTTGACCTTTTTTTCTCATCACCTTTCCTAGGCTGCTCTCCCAAAGGCCACCATTCTGGATCTGTCCTGCAATAAACTCGCTACTCTACCGGTAAGACCAGCAAGCAACCATGACTCCTTCTGGAACCCTGGGTGCTGCTTTTTCCTGTTTGGGGCTTGTGTCATAAGGCCTACATTCTGGATAGGTTGCAGCTAAATCCAAGTGGAGATGGGTGGGGAGCTGGTCCTCGGTGGGAAGAGTAGAGTGGGATCCCTCAGTGAGATACTGTACCACAGAAACCCATGTCAGTGGGATGCTGGCTGAGTCACTACTTGGGGTCATACTTTTTCTGCCTTAATTTATTCCTTTGAAAAATATATTACCTCCTTATTACATAGAGGAGGCTAGAGACCATTTTATACGTTGCTCTGCATTCCAGAGAGAAAGCTGTTTGTGAACAGTCTCCTTATGCATCTTTTGAAGAGGAGCAGGAAAGAATGTGGTTTTGTGGGACTACCTGGTCATTATCCTCCCAAGCAAGGACTTGAATTACTTGAGATTTGCTACTTTTTCGTTCAGCATATCCAGTCTCTGGCCAAATCCTTTTGATTTTTCTTGTACGGTTTCTCTTAGCTCTCCTTTTCCTCCACCTGTGTAGGCCTCGATTCATGCAGCCTGTCAGCCTCTCCTTGGGCAGTGGCCAGCTTCTCCTCCACAGCAGTGCTCCTTCACCATCAGGCCCAAAGTTGGCTGTCAGTGTGGCCTTTCCTCGGCTACTCTGACCACCTCACTCCTTTCATGTACTCTAGTGTAGCTTCCTACCAGGCTCTGGCACAGGGATCAAGTGTCAGAAGTTGGCAATTCCTTTATTGGCTCATTAGCCCATTCCCCTCTCAGTATTCACCCGGGCCTCACTCACTCTTGATAGCATCTTCCCACAGCTCATCAAGGACTGCTTCTACCATTCAAGAAGAGTCTGAAATTCCACTTCTTTCAGAGAATATTTTGTATCTAATTAAAGAAGGAGAGCAATTTCCAGCCTCATGCCTGCTGTGCATCTTGCCAGGTGGTCATTCGCTAACCCCGACTGCACTTCTCGATCTGAGTTTGTCCCTTATCTGTGCCTCCCATCTCACTCTGCAGTACAGATCTGGCGTTTACAGGTCCCCAGAGAGCATGAAAAGTGCCTCATTAGCTGATATTGTACCATCACTTGCAGATGGGAACTTAGCAAAGGTTTAATGACAAGGAGGGTGTTTTGGTCTGTGCCAAAGAAGAGCCAGGATATGAGTAGGATGGGCCCCAGTGCATTCATTCATTCAGTCAGTCAGTCATTCAGAGAACACTCATTGAGCACCTGTGCTAAGTACTGTGCTAGGTACTGTGAATAACAAAGAAGACTAGGGACTCAAGGAGTGCCTGGTCTCTAGGAAAATGGATCCTCACATTATGTTTGGACAGATCTTATCATAGAGTGCTGTGGGAGGTCAAAATGGGTCCAGTAAAAATATGGAGTGTGGGTTGGAGGGAGAACTGAGGATGAAGGAACAAGCACTAGTGCCTATTCTAGGCCACTGTGCTAGGCCCTTACACATACAGCATCTTGTTAATTACCACCAGGAGTGGATACTTTATATGTTGAGTCATTCATTTTGAGGTAGACTGGCTGGTAAGAGGCAGAGTGAGGACTTACACATAGGTGCCTCTGACTTGAAGGTTTCTGGGCTTCAAGTCTGAGCCCAAGGCTTAGGTGTTCTCTCTTTGGGTCCTAGTCGGAGTTCTGTGGCCTCACACACCTAGTGAAGCTGGACCTGAGTAAAAACAAGCTGCAGCAGCTGCCAGCGGACTTTGGCCGTCTGGTCAACCTCCAGCACCTGGATCTCCTCAACAACAGGCTGGTCACCCTGCCTGTCAGCTTTGCTCAGCTCAAGGTAACAATTCTTGAACCAGTAGTTCACGGCCAGGTGTGGCAGAGGGCTCAGGAACTGACGGGGCGTGGCCATGAGAAAGGTTGCAGAAATACCACCTTGTTGGCCCTGTCCCAGATGGCTATTCCCTGCAGCTAGAATACAGATGGGCCTTTTTCCTCCTCACTTTGTTTCACTTTGAAGGACTCTGTCTGTGAACTCGGGCTTAACCAGCCTCTGTGCCCATCTCTTTAGAGTCTGAAGTGGTTGGACCTGAAGGACAACCCCCTGGATCCTGCCCTGGCCAAAGTGGCAGGTGATTGCTTGGATGAGAAGCAGTGCAAGCAGTGTGCAAACAAGGTAATCGCAACACTCCCAGGCGTCTCCTTCACACACTCGCCAGGGCCTTGACTCTCCCTCAGCTTATTTTTCCCTCCCAGGGCACCTGTAACTGTGTTGATTAAAGCACTATGGTGTCAGTGAAAAATGTTCACTGTGAGCTTGTCGAGCAAAGAGACCTTTGTTTCTGCGTTTATTTCACAAGTTCTAGAACAAAAGTGTTCTGCTCTATTGCAGGATCTTGCATGATCCAACATTGCACTACATTGACTGTTATTTTATTGAGACGAGGGTTAGGGGCTGATGCATTTCAGAGTCACAGTTATTGTAGGAATTTTGGTAATAAAGCTAGCCATATTTATACATTTATAGCTGTAAAACAGACACATTCTGGGCAGATCTGGCATTTGACTGCAGTCGAGCCATCTGACATGGGAGTGAGGAACTAAAGTCAGTATGGAAGGCAAACATTGCCAGTGGCCGGTTACCATGAAGATGCCTTACACCTCTCACGAAGAACATTACAGTATTCTACCCATCTCTCACTAACTCCAACTACAGTCATTCTCCCTCGATTTTTGGGACAGATTGCTGCTTCTTCAGCTTAGCACCAGATGACTTACTGGCTCTGTTTAGAGGGCATGCTGAACAAAAAAGACTTGAAATGCTAGAATTAATGTAACATAAGTGTGTGTATGATGGGTCTCTACTGTGAATCTCAAGAGTAGTGGCTTTCTTATCATTAGCTTAGGGCTTCTTCAGCCAAGTAACTAAGGCAACACTGTAGCCTTAACTGGGAATAATACAAGTGATCAGTGAAATCCTGTTTTGAAAACTTGGCACTTTAGAAGTGATGTCTATGCTGAAGATTAAATAGCTAACATTGACTACTCTTTCTTTGTCCTATACATTTTACATGTATCACTTAATCCCCATAACCCTGGGAAGTAGATATTACTCCCACTTCCATGACATGAGAAGCCCTCAGTATGCAAACACCTTTCATTCATTCCCTCATTCCTTCATCAACAAATAACATGCAGAACTATAGGAAATTGCTGATACTACAGTTTTTGATATACAGAAATACTTTTCTGAATGCACAGCCTTTTGTACTTGTACCTGTCTTCCAGCTAACACTCCCCACAGCACTGTGCGTTGTGATGTGGGACCAAAGCTGTGGTCCCTGGCAGCGAAGCCCCAGAGCCTTAGCTGGTTTCTCAGCATGTCTTTAGGCGTTGTAAAGGGTGGTTTAGGCCAGTCCGAATGAGATCACTTGGCCCGAGGAGTTAGTTTAGGTCTCCGCAGCTCTGACCTAGTGGTCAGTTGCATTAGTTATGGTAACTGATCAGCTCTATACACAACAGAGCACCTTCTAAAAATAATTTTTAGTTCACCAGTATTCATCAGGTGCCTACTGTGTGCTGTGAACTGGATTAGGTAGATAAAAAATCTACCCTTGACTTCACAGTTTAGAGTATGATAGTTTCTCCCGTTTCTGAAATGCCTGTGTTTTCAGATAATTAACTCCTGATGGTAGCAGTTGTAGCAAGGTAAAAAGGAACATTTCTTAAACATCCTATCTCTTTAGCCAGCTATACACCCCCTAAAACCAACTGAGTGGTTGGTGCGTATTTAATTTTAAAAGTTCAGAGTGAGACAGGGTCTTAGAATTGGGCTGCCTCCTGCCATTGTGCTGAACCTTCCTTCCAATCTTGCCACTCCTTCTCGAGCAGCCGTTTTTATGGTGAGCTTGTCTCCAGAGAGGTGCCAGCAGGTCCGGGTCGTACATACGCTACTCTGGACAGAATTCCTTGGGGCTGCAAACCAGGCTCTTGAGGGGAGCTGCTTTGCTGGACTAATTGAGAATCGTTCAGGTTCTCCTTTTAATTCCATAAAGAAGATAGAGCACGTACAATGCCAAGGATTATGTAAAAGTTATGTTATTAAATTTTCACAACAGACCACAGCAGTATATCTCATTTCCATTTTCCAGATGAGGAATCAGCTCAGAAAGGTTAGATAACTTGCCAAGGTCACACGCGTGGTAGAGTCAGGATTTTCTTGGGTTTCAAGCTTATCCTCTGACCCCTACATCCAAGGAGAAGAAATAAAAAGTCCTACCTCCCACCCCCAATCATGCCCGTAGTGAGAATCTTTGCAGCTGTTCTAGTCAGAGATCCTCATACTGAGTTGACGAGGATTTGGGGGCTCACGGTGCCCAGTGCCTTTGTGCAGTGTTTGGGCGGAATGACTGTTTCCCTCTCCTTCCTCTCTGCATGTATCACAGGCCCAGCTGCAGTTAAAAGCAGCTTAGTGTAGTGGTGCAAGCTGTGTCCTAGGGTCTCGGAAGCCCTGCCCTTGGGTCTTAGCGCTGCAACTTTCTAGCCATGTGAAATGGACAAATCACTGTCACAGAGTGTTGGTATTCTTCCTTTTGAAATGAGAATCTATCCAGTCATTCATCAAGCATGTATTAAGTGCTTCTGATTAGCTAAAATATGCGTTAGTCACTTGGGATACCTACTCACAGGCCAACAGTCCCTTCCCTTAAGGAATTTAGTCTTATGACTGAGGCAGACAGGTTAAGTTGGAGGAGGGTCCCTGAGGTAGCCAGAGGAGGGGAGGTCAGAAAAGCACCTCTGAGGATGTGTTCTCTCTGCCTGTCAGAAGGAGCTGCTGAGAGGATTATATGAAGTAACGTGTGGGAGCGACTGTAAATGGCAGAACATTTCCCAGTTGGCATTGTTTCTCGAACTTTTTTCTGACAGCTTTAGTGAATTAGGCTCCTGCGACTCTTCTCCAATAAAGTTGGCCCAGCAATTTAGGACACAAAGGTAGAATTAACTCCATTAGTTCTGCATGGCTGCAGGGGCCCTGTCTCTTTTCTAGCCAAGACTCTCCTGAGCAAATGTGAGCTGGGACAATTACTACAGGTAGTCCTTGACTTAGGACATATTTGAATTATGAAGAACTGCACTTATGCCTGTCTGTGTTGTTGTTTTTTTACATCATATCATTAGTAATATATATTGCATACAGTGTTGCAGCATGTAATTTGCTGATGTTATTCTCATGCCAACCCCCAAAGACAATAAAGATCAGATTTATAAAGACTGATAATAAAAGGCAATAATAATGAAAACTAAAAAAAGAGGTATTTGACTTACATCAGAACCAACTTATGACAGAGTCATTGGAACAGAACTCCTTTGTAAGTTGGGGACTACCTGTACTTTGAGTCCCCTTCAGAACCTTCCTCCCCCTTTGCAGGTGTTACAACATATGAAGGCTGTGCAGGCTGACCAGGAACGTGAGAGGCAGCGGCGGCTGGAAGTTGAACGAGGTAAGGGCCAACCCTCTTCTAGTCACCTTATAGGCTTTTTACCCAGCCAGCTGACTCTAATGCTTCAGGAGCTGGAATCCATAGAAGAGACTTGAAGAGCAGTGGGAAGCAATGTGGTAGTAGTTGTACCATCCTTACCTGATGGGTCACTGCCTTTAGTCGTGGCTTTTTCACCGAGCTCCAGTCATATCAACTGCTTGTCTTTCATCTCCACTTGGACAGTTCATAAACCAAACCAAACTCATTGCCGTCGAGTTGATTCTGACTCAGCGACCTTAAAGGACAGAGTAGAACTACCCCGTGGGGTTTCCAAGGCTGTAAATCTTTACAGAAGCAGACTGCCACATCTTTCTCCCGTGGAATGGCTGGTGCGTTCGAACTGCTGACCTTTTGGTTATCAGTTGAGCACTTAACCACTGTGCCACCGGGACTCCCTGGAAAGTTCATAGGCATCTCAAATTTAACATGGCCAAAACAGATCCCTAAACCCCTGCAGTAACCGCCCCCCCCAACAGTGTTCCCTCATAATAGGGAAATCACCAGCCATATATATATTCAAGCCTGAAATCTGAAAGGTGTTCAGTTCCTTTCTTCTGTTACTCCCATATCCAGTCTGTCAGCAAGTCCTCCATCTCACCATTTCTTTCCACCTCCAGCGGCACTGCCGTAGCCAAGTCTTCCTCCTGTGGACTAGCCTGGTATCTAACATGCTGTCCTGTCTCCACGCTTGCAATCCCTACACATCCCTTCTCCACACAGCAGCTGGGGAGAACTTTTTTAAAACTTAAATAAGTTATGTTGCTGTTTGCTTAAAACACTAATGGCTTCCTACTGAACTTGGGATGAAATTTAAACTTATAACCTAGCCGACCAGGCCTCATATGACCCAAGCCTGCCTGCTTCTCTGGCCTTGTTCCATAAACAAAGGAAAGAGTGCTATTAACTTTAGCCACAGGAGTCTCTGCTATTCCTTAAACACACCAAGTACAGTCTTGCTTTCAGGGTTTTGGTTCCAGGGTTTCTTCTCTCCTCAGATCTTTACGTGGCTGGCTTCTTGTAATCCCACGTCTCTTCTCAAATGTTAGATTAACCTTAACTCTTTCGAAACCACCCAAACAAGAATAATCAACCTGCCATCCTCCATCATGTCCTCCATTATTTTCTCTACGGCACTTATCACTGTCTTTGTTACTTGTTCACTTGTTTTTTGTCTGCCTCTCTCGAGAAAGTGAATGGCTTAGGAGTAGTAGTTTACCTATCTTCTTCTCTGCTCTATCTCAAACACGTAGAGCAATGCCTGGCACACAGTAGGCAGCCCATTGGCTGGCTGGCTGGCTTCTGAGCCCCCTCATTGTACAGTATCGACTACAGGCAGTCCCTGAGGTCAGAACACCTGAGCTACGAACGTCCTGTACACGTACATGGCTGCTATGGCAAGAGATGCCGTGTGTACTTGTGCGTGCATGCTCTCTAGAAGCTGAGTGTAGTGTGTTCTTGGTGTTCTCAGTGACCGGCTGGAACTTGGCGCTTGTGTTTACATAGAGAAGCAGTGGAAAGCTACAGTACTCATAGTGCTACTATTCAGCTACCTTATGACTCGAACAGGCTTTTAAGCCCTAAAAGGACATCTGACCACCATTTGTGGCATCCTGGCTTTGTAAAAATGTATTTCTCAGGCTTCCAAATCACTAATGTGGAAATGCATTTTAAGAACCCAGTAATTTGTAAGTTGGTTACTACAGGTAAACATTCTTGAGCTATTAAGTAAATCTGAATGTGCTACACAGATTACTGAGTTGAGATCTAGAGATTACTTTCTGACAAAGTTAGTTTCACTTTTTCAGTGAAACTTGTGGAAAAACATTTCCATTCTCTCTACCCCTTAACTTGAGTGCTCACTTTCTCTTACTTGCCCTTGTCATGCCCCATTCATTTCTTAAGCTTGGGAAGCTAGGAACCCCATAGACTTAACACTTCCATTGTTTCTTCTTTTTATATCTGAGTTCTACAAGGTTGTCAATTACTGTGCCTTCTGATTATTATCTACTTCTAGAGGAGCACCAGACTTAGCACCCATGCCTCAGTCTCCTCCTTGTTGCATTACTCTAGTAGCTCCACTGCTGGTGGCTAGGAACCCATTAGTAGAAATCTAGTCAGCAAACTCTGAGAGCAGCTTATTGTATTTTAGGGAAGGCTTACTCCTGGGGAGCAGACAGCTTCTTTCCTTTTAATATTTCCTATGTGACCCATGGCATAAGGGAAAAGAAGGTTGAATCCATTCTTTCAATCACTTGGGAAAGCAAACAAGGTTTGTGGGAGAGAAGTCATTTTTGGGTGTATTTTGGCGTAGAGCTGGAGAAGAAGCGCGAGGCTAAGCAGCGAGCTAAGGAAGCTCAGGAACGGGAACTGCGGAAGCGGGAGAAGGCAGAAGAGAAAGAGCGTCGGAGAAAGGAGTATGATGCCCTCAAAGGTGCCAAGCGGGAGCAGGAGAAGAAACCTAAGAAGGAGACAAATCAGGCCCCGAGTAAGTTTTCTGATAAGGGTTCCAGCAGGGGTACAGTCAAGAGACTTATGTTCTCAGGCATAGATGAATGAGTGAGCTTGCAAGCCTTAGTCAGACAAAATAGACTCTTAAAGCTTGGGAATAGCATGGGAGCGTTTAAAGGAGACCAGCCCTGGGAGTTTGGTCACCGGAGATGGGGACTCCTAGGGAGCAATGCCCAGCTGATTTGTCCCGATGCCACATACTTTTGTGCGGGTGTTCTGGTCAGATGTGGCTCCGAACATGGGAGTGGTCGCAGGTCAGCAGCTGGGGGAATGGGCAGCCTCGATGCTGCCCACTGCGCTCACACGGAAAGAGGGTCACGGTGTCGCCCTCTGGGAACATGGGGATGGTGTTCTAAGGGTTAGGTTCTAAAGTCACTGAGAAAGGCAAAGATCACACTTGGTCAGATTACCCTTAACATCCCTCACGCCATCCATGGTGCCCACTGTGTGTGTTTTCAGTCTGTGGAACAGTCTCTCAGTAAGGCTAGCATTGCCTGTGGTTTTTCTGAGCTGAAACAGATCTCTTTGCTTGAATACCAGAAGAATTATTTGGTTGCATTTAGGAGACCATGTTATATGAAAAACATAGTTTATGTCCAGTTATGAATACGTCCAGTTGGATTTGCTTAAGTGCATGTAGCGATGTGGGTCCCTCTACAAGGGAGGAGCATATTCCCTCAGGGTCAAAAGGGACCCCTCAGGAGAGGCACCTGAGAGGGAAGGAACTCTGCATGGAGGCAGAGGCCTGTGTCCCCGGCCCTGCTCGCCCTCGCCTCCACCAAGCTGCCTAACTTCACGCCCTTTTTGTTTCCTTGTGTAAAGTGAGGATGTAGGTATGCCAACTTCAGGGTAGTGGTAAGGATTACATGAGAAAATCTTATGTGACAGGATCATGCAGTTCTTGGCATTGTGGACACTCAGTCAAGCTTTTAAAATTTTTGTCTAAAAAATCTCAAATTTTTTCTAGTTTTAAATGTAATATATGTTCATTACTGAGAATTTTGGAAAGTTATATAAGAAGTTTTATACATTTCAGTAAATGGCAACCACCTGTAATCCCCCATTCCCAGCAATAATCCTTCTTTTTATAGGCATATTATAGAATGCTGACATTCACAGTCATATCAATAAATCTCAAACCCATTTCTCCAAGTTGGCAGCTTGATGCCTCCTGATAGGCCCCTCTCATGTGACTCCGAGAGGCCTGGATCGTCACTATGATACAGAGGAGAGCTTCGGGCCCTGGGGACTCTCTGGTTTAGGATGTACTCCCTTGAGATCTGAGGGAGAAGGTGTTTATGTTTCAGCCTCAGGATAGTGAAGTTTTTAAGAGCGCAGGTGTTCTCAACAGTTTCCTCTTTCAGGGCTTGGGAGTTTTGTGTGAGAAGAGGGGTATAAGTGGATCTGCATGGAGGAGGCTAGCACAGGTGGGTAGAACATGGGTCTCTTCAAACTGACCTTTTTATGTCTCTGACTTTGTCCCTCCAGAATCAAAGTCTGGCTCCCGCCCCCGCAAGCCGCCACCTCGGAAACACACTCGGTCCTGGGCTGTGCTGAAGCTGCTGTTGCTGCTGCTGCTGTTCTGTGTGGCAGGAGGGCTAGTGGCCTGTCGGGTCACAGAGCTGCAGCAGCAGCCCCTCTGCACCAGTGTGAACGCCATCTACGACAATGCGCTCCAGGGTCTGCGCAGCCACGAGATCCTCCGGTGGGTCCTCCAGACCGATTCTCAGCAGTGAGCTTGACCTCGACACTTGCTGCCTCCCCAGCCTTGGAGCTTGGATTCCTATGGAATTGGGTTCTGCTGGACACCCCTCTTTTTAGCGTCAGACCTACCTGCCATCATCAAATGGCTGCTGATTGGTACTTGAGACCTTCTCTTTATAGGACTTCTTTGTTCCTTAGTCAGGGTTCCCTGTTGGAATAAGGAAAAACAGGAGGTGGTGGGGAGTTAACTTGCATGCCTAAAGGAATAGGCCTCGGGGTGGGGAGAGGAAAAACATAGCCTTTTCTAGTTGTTATACAAAGCTGTGTAAAGGCAAGGTTCATTTCTACTAAATGGTCAGCTGTCACTATGTTTATACTTTTGTATGTCACAAACCCGTTCTTTCACCCCACCCTGGGTAGCCTTGGCAAGTCAGGAGGCAATGTGTTACTGGGGACTAGAGGGAACACCACACTCAGAGCGAATCTGGCCTAAATTGTGGGGAGGGTGTGTGTGCCTTAAGGACCTCAGACATTCCTTAGACATTTAGTGGCCTCACAAAATCTGAGGCTGTGAAAGGGACTTCAAGACCATCCAGTCCAACGTGACACTTGCAGGCAGGGAAACTGACTTGCCTATAGTCTCACAGCTAGTTTGAGGCAAAACTGTTTTCCCACTCCAGTACCTTCTCTTTCCTTTACATCATTTTTGCCTCCTTTTAATGTCCTGAGAGAACAGAACTCATCAAAATTACGTCACAGCTAAAGTCTAGACTCTCTCATGGTACAGATCCATGACTCACAAATAGAAATCTCATTGCCATGAGGGTCCTGGGCAGCTCCTGTGGAGTCTTGCCCCAACTTATGAGGCTTCCATAAAATGGGAATTTTACAGCATTAACTCCCTCATTGCCAGTAAGCAAGGAGGCAGGCCCTTGCAAAGCCACATCATCTGTGACATCTCTATTAGTAGTTGGTGTGACTAAATACCTCAGAGGTAGCATGAAAACTCTGCTTCCCAGGGACTGAGATTTAGAACTGTCTGATTCTAGATGTATAATTACATGTACTCTCTGAAGGGGAACGAGTGGCATCATGGAGCAGGGCATTACTGTAATGACTAGCACAAACAAGGGCAGGGCTGACCAGTGTCGTTTGCCAGATTAGGCGTTTTCTTGCTCTGTGACCTCCTTTGCCTCATCTTTTTCACAACAGCTGGATGAAGGGATCAGAAATGACCATGTCATGGTGCTCGTTCACTGAAAGTTCCTGACTACAAACTACTTGCCTCTCTGAGAAAGCAAGACCCTGTCACGGTTCACAGAGAGAGCAGGGTCCAGCTTCTTAGCCGTAGTGGCTCATTTGGATAGGACTGCTACTCATGACTGTCCTGATACTAGAAGAACCGACTGTTCTTTTCTCCCCCAAGGATTGCTCTGCTGCGTAGGTCCACGCCTTACAGAATCACTACACATTCCTTTAGTCTTCCTCCAAGCTCCAGAGCCATTGGTACAAACGCTTTATTGAAACTAAACACATATGATTAATACAGAAGTCAGCATAGTTATCATAACCTGACTCCTTCGCTGGTTGAGGCAGCTCAGTGGGTGAGAGGAGGGCTGTGGTACACCCAGCCTAGTCAAGCCAACCCACAGACATCAGTTCACAACTTCTAGATTTGATGCCGAGGTTCTTTTGGATTTCTACAATTATTAAATGTGTCCGAGTGGTCTCTCTTTGTTCCTCTGTGTTCTCAGGGCTGGCTGGGGCGTGGGTGGAGTGGTTCATCATGGCAGCTGGTTTTTGCTGAGACGAGCATTAAATGCTGGTGGAGGTAAATGCAAACATTGAGTTGGTCCCAAGCTGACGGACTTTCGTGAATGATTACACCCAGGAATGAGTGCTGTGGGCCTGACCTAGGCTTGTGCTCTTGGAGGTGCTTCCAGTCTGCATTGTGGTCATATAGTTCCGGGTAGGTGAGGTGGAAATCTCCAGCTTTTCTCCCTCGTCCCTGAGGGCGACCATTAGTCTGCAATGTCTAAAGAGAGATTTGGCTGCAAAGTTGTCATCTGGAGGTAGATACGCCTGGAGAGCTCTGGTCCAACACGGCGGGAGGTGGATGTCACACCTACCCCGCGGCGAACCTGTATATCTGCAAGCAGATTCTGGCGTTCTTGCTCTGAAAAACGCTGCCGATAAGCCTGAAAGTGGTAAATGACCTCTTAATGCCAGAGTACCCATGGTCATCTGTAATCTGTGAGGACGAAGGGTAGTAAGCTGGGACTGGGGGATAGAACCTGCCCTCCCTCCCTGGGTCAATGCTAACAACTCTGATGTCAGCAGACCCACCACTGATGCCTGACAAGGCATTCTCGGGCACTCAACAATGCTGTCTATGAAAAGGGGGGCCCAGGAATACCATGGGGGCACTGGTGGTGACCTCTAGAGCAGCATACCTGAGCCAGGAGCTGGGGGGAGGGATAGGCTGTCACAATAGCACTGGCCACTTCTAGGCTGATTCGATTCAGCTGCTGAATCTGTCTCCTCCAGACCAGGGCAAGGCCCCTGCCAGAGCAGTCCACCTTCACCCCTCCAGCCCAGTCACTCTCCAGGCAGAAGGAGAAACCAGTTTGATCTCGGAGCTTCCTGCAAACAGCACAGTTGGGGAGCTGTGAGTCACCTGCCACTCTCCTGCACCCGTCCCCTCAACTAGGAACTAAACCCTCCACTGACCTAGGGAGAGGTAAATACATTATGTCTGACCTTTTTTTGCCTTTGACAATTTGAGTGCTCAGTTTGTTCCAAAATGCTAGTTGCTGATTCCCTTAAAAACCACATCTAGTCCGTTTTATTAGAAAAGAAGGTACTAGAAAGCCCAGATTCTCGTTTTGTGTTAAAATTGGGTTGTACTGACCAGAGAGTATGGTATGGGGCTAAACACAAGGGACTGGTATCAGGCAGGCTGGAGTCTAGCTGTGGTTCCTCTACCTTGCTGGAAGCTTAGATAAGTCAATCTCTTCAGGCCTCAGTTCCCTGAAGTATAAAATGAGGGACTTGGATGGCATTATCTCTGAGATTCCTTACTAATTTTGAATTGATTATGAACATTCTTTGAACTAAGAAGGCTGAAAATTTCTTTTACTAGGGCTTATTATACTGTGATCTGATCTGTAACAAATCCTGGTAACTTGGCTAATGGTGATCCAGTACCAACCTGCAGAACACAGACTTAAAGCTAATGGAAAATACTTAAAAAGGGATTGGGCTTTGGGCTTAAGGGCTCTTCCCAAGAATTCCCTGCATGAGGTCAGCTCCCTCTGCCTCAAACTTGAGATGATGGGCTGACAACAGAGTTTACAGGAAAGGGATGTTTTCTCTGGCTTTAAGAACCACTGTAAAGGACAAGGCCCAGCACTGGAGGCTGACTTGCTCCCAGCACTCACTTGAAGGGCGCCTCGGCCACAGCCTTTGTGAATGTGCATGCAAAGTCAGCCAGCTCTTTCCAGCTCTGCAGAATTTGAACCTGGGCTTCTGTGTGTAACTGCAGATCCACCAATGCCTAGAAATCCAAAAGCAGGGATAAACTGAAAGTGGAAAGATGTTTCAAGTTCTCTCACTGTTCACTGAAGCCACACCCCAGCCCCTCAGCCCCCTGACTGGCCCCTTTTCTCGTACTCACTGCCGAGACAAGAAAGTGGTCTTCAACTGGCATTTCATTCTGTATCAGTAGCAAATCTGATCAGATGATCAGTGAGTGTGCAGCTGGACTCAGGCAACAGGAAGTTCTTACCTCTTCCAGGTCTACCCTGGTCACCAGAGGCACAGGCCCTGTGTTGGCCTCTGGTTGTCTCTGCTTCTTCTCCTTGGGCTGTTCTCTATTTGTCACTCCCTGCTTCCTTCTCCTTGGAGGATTCTGAGCACTGCAGCAGGGAAGGAAATCAAAGAGGACAGCAGCCCCACTTAACTCAGGCAGAAGAGGAGCAAGGAGATTGGAGCAGAGCATCCTACAGGGCTTGTCAGGGATCCTATCTTGCAGAGTGGCCCCGACCTGGGGTGAAAACATTCACCCCTGTTGGTTCGTGAGCTGCCCCTTTTAACACTAAAGTCTCAAGGACAAACCCAAACCTGAAGCATTTCTCCTGATCCACAATCACCAGGGACAGGGCTTTCCCTGCAGTCTTTGTGGTGATGTCCGTTACAAAGCTCTGAAGTGTCTCCTTCCCTTTCTCGGTGCTGTCTAGACTTCCCTGCATGAAGGGCAGAAACGACATTAATACTTAACTTCTTTGGAAGAGTCAGCCTCTGTTCCATGCCTCAGCCCCCGCCCCTCTGGCATGCCCACCTGCTTTAAGTTGTTGATCATGGACACAACCGCCTCTGCCAGGAGCAGCACCAAGATCATTGGCTCCTCTGCCCAGTCCTCCCCTCCATCCTGTCAAAAGAGCCAGAACATAACAGAGGGGGTAGGTCAGCAGGTGCTGAGGATCTGCAAGAGTGACCCAGACTTTCTGGGTGAATAAGCTCACCTCCATCAGCCTAGCCCATTATATGTTCTTTTTTCTTCTAGAAGGAAGTCACTGTGGCAAGAAATAACCCTTGATCCTGCCCCTCCCCAGCCCTCAATTGTTCAGCCTTAGTGTACTGCATGTAGAGGTGGTAAGAAAGGGACATCAGCATGTTGAAATGGGCTAAGAAGTAACTGCCAATTTTTCTACACATTTTGAATATGGACTGGAGTCAAAGGAAAATCTTTCAAAGGATGTGGTACAAATAACTAACTCTGGCTTTGAAGGTAGATGCTAACTATGTGTGGCCCTTATAAACACAAAGGTTTTGTGTGACAGAGAATCACAAGAGAAACTTCAGTCTGTGAGAAGACCTTCTCGTCACCACAGATACAGCATAATCAATCCTAAACCAGTGGAGCATTATGGAGAAATTCAGGAGCAGGGCTTTCTGAAAGTTTTCTGATTGGGTTCCTATGAACAAAAGCCAAGAACCATGATACAGCAAAGTGTAGGGTGAGAGAAGCCCTGGGTTCAGCCATTATCGTAAGCTGTGATCCTGAATAAGGCTTTTAACTTCTCTGACTTCTCTCAGTTTCCCCACTTGTGATGTGAGGCTAAGAATTCCTGCCACACCTACCTTACAGGGCCACTGTGACTGAAACACAAGAGAAAATGTGGAAGTGCCCTGAAAGGATAAGCTGCCATGTGAATACAAAGGTTTGCTAATGCCCTCAAAAAGTTTAATGAGAAAGGCATGAAATCCAAGAGAGGAAAAAATCTTAACGTCTCGTGTATAGACTCTTGAAAACGAGGGGTGGAGGATTCTGGATTCGCAGATGAGAGGAGTGAAAGGCACAAGAGTTGTAGTAACCCGGGGATCCCTGGTGGGGGAAGGAGCACTTACTGTGTGCTCAGTGCCAAGTTATCTCATTTAGTCCCCACAACGGGACTGAAAGGGATGCAACAAGTTCCCTCATTTATACATGAGGCAACTGAGGCTCAAAGACATGAAATAACTTGCTCAGGGTGATAGCTGAGAATCATAGCTGAAGCTGAGACTGAAATGCAAGCCCACCTAATCCCCATAGAGAAATGGGGATTCTCTGCCAATTACCCTCCTCTGGCCACAGATCCCCTCTCCACTTTCCACACTCTGCTCTCTGCCTAAGGAGGCTCATCCCTCTCATTGCCTGCTGCCCACCCACCCGATGGCTTCCAGATTGGTGTGGCCAGTGAGGAGTCCCAGTAGGAAGTTGGAAGGAGGAGAGTGAAGTCAGGATATTTCTTTCCCTGGCTTCCTCCCAATGGGATGGCCTAGAGTTTGCTACAGCCCTCTACTGGAGGTCAAAGCTTCTCTTAAGGGGTAACGACTCCCCTCATCTCTTCAGCCTTAGGGATGGCAATAGCTATGCTGTGATTATCAACCAGGGGTGATTTCCCGCCTCCAGGGATATCTGGCAATATCTGGGTACATTTTTGATTGTCATGACTGGGAGGGATGCTACTGGCATGTAGTGCGCAGAGGCCAGGGATGCTGCTAAACATCCTACCACACACAGGACAGCACGGTCTAGAATGTCAACAGTACCAGAGGTTGATAAGCCGTAAGCTATGCTGTTAGCACCCTGAGACATTGTACTGTCCCTTGTCGTTTCCTTGTACCCTGCCTATACCTTGGAAAATAGTTCCTTTATTAATCCTCCTCAAATTATCCTAAGGTGAGTGTGCCATCTGTTTTCCTGCTGGGGCCTGACTGATACATACCCTTTAAAAGGAAAAGCACATTTACCCTGCAACTCACCGGGGAGGAGAGATGTCAGCCAGAAAACCCCTACCTCAGACAGCCTAGCCCTTTTCCAGGTGATGCTGCAAGGCACAGCCTGCGCCTCGATCACGCAGCTGCACTCCATGGACTGCAATGCCCCGAGGAGCTGGCTGCCACCTTCCATCTGTAAGAGTACTGCAACAGATGGGACAGGGGCTGTCAGCGGGTAGCCTGGGAAGGAGAAAACTCAGCACAGGGTGAGGAAAGATGCGAGAAGGACCTGGATCCAGGACAGCAGCGATGTGCTTTAAGCATTCTCCTGGCCTCTGGGCTTTCAGCCTGTTCGCCTGCACGGCCTTCTTCCTTTCCTGTTGCCTCAGGGTGCTTTCCTTCTGGTTCGCTTGTCCCTGATGCCAGTCTCTTCTCCGGGCCTTCTGATTGTGCCTGGTTCTTTTCTGAGGCAGGTGGACCTCAGAATATGTTGTTATTGTCAAGTTGTTGTCCTGGATAGGGCAGGTAGAATGGTAGGCTGGAAGCTGATAGGACGGCTTGTCTAAGATAGGGTCCTTGTTATGTGAAGTGCTTGTCTCTGAGCTATTATGGAGGGGAACACTGAGGATCTTTGGAAAGGGCTGTTTTTTCCAGTCACATAATGCTCCTTCATTATTTTGATGACCCAAGACACTTTTAATTGGGGATCTAGAGTCTTCAGGGCTCAACTGCTTGTGGGTCAAAAATTTACACTTAAGCCTCTCAGCCAGGGGAATAAATTCCACTTCATCCTCACTTCCACTGCTTAGCACCCTGACTGGCTCTGTTTGTGTGACAGTTACAGTTTCCAGTGTGTCTGGGACAGGTGGTGGATCTTTCACGCCTGGTGATGGAGGGCAGGAGGCCTCAGAATCTGAGGCGTTAATCACTACAATCTTCTCTTCCCTCTGAGGCAGCCATCTCTTTGTTGAAGATGGTTCCATCTTCAGAAAGGTAAATACTGGCAACTCCTCAGAATCACTCTCACTGGAATCCATTAAGAGTGATGATTTCTTTAGAGCCATCAATGTGTGCTATCAAGTTAATCACCTGAAAAAAAAAGAGAGCTGAGAGACTGTGACATTCAATTCGATCCATTAAATGTGTTCTATGGCCAAGCTTTATGGAAATAAATCTGAGATACAAAGAAACAGAAATAGGACATGGCCCCAACACATTCAATCTGGAACTAAGAACAGCTATGCCTGTAGTCTAACAGGCTTGCTGTGTGCCGTCAATTCTGCCCCATAGGGTTTCCTAGGCTGTCATGTTTATGGGAGATGGCCAGGTCTTTTCTGCTTCAGAGTGGCTGGTGGGTTCGAACTACCAGCCTTTCGGTTAGCAGCTGAGCGCTTGGGCTCCTTAGTCTAACAGGAACCCCTCCTCAAATCCCTTCTAGGACAAGGTGAGGTATAAACAAAGTGGAGGTTACAATTACAAAAATTTTAATGGAGGTAGTAACAAGACTTAACAGTCATTTGTTTTCTTTTTAATTGAGATAAAATTCACATACCATAAAATTCATCCTTTTAAAGTGTAGAAGTCAGTGCTTTTTCGTATAGTCACAAGGCTATGCAACCATCACCACTATCTACTTTTCATCACAAAAAGAAACCCTATACCGATTAGCAGTTACTCCCCATTCCTCCCTCCTTCCAGCCCCCCAGTAACCACTCATCTATTTCTGTCTCTATGGATTTACCTATTCTGGACATTTCATAAAAGTGGAATCATACGATACATGGCCTTTTGGGACTAGCTACTTTTACGTAGCATGTTTTTAAGGTTCATTCATGTTGCAGCCTGTATCAGTACTTAACATTGTTTTTATGGCTGAATAATATTCTATTGTATGAATATACCACATTTTGTTTATCCCTTCATCAGTTGATGGACATTTGGTTTGTTTCCAGTTTTTGGCTATTACCAGTAATGCTGCTATGAGTATTTGTGTACAAGTTTTTGTGTGGGCATGTTTTCTTGGGTATATACCTAGGAGTGGAATTGCTGGGTCATATGCAAGAGTCAGGAGCCCTGGTGGCGCAATGGTTAAATGCTTGGCTGCTAACCCAAAAGTCTGTGATTCCAACCCACCAGCTGTGGGATAAAAGACCTGTAAAGATTACAGCCTTGGAAACCCTGTGGGGCAGTTCTACTCTGTCCTATAGGATCGTTTTGAGTTGGAATCGACTTGAAGGCACACAACAACATGCAAGAGTCACCTTTTAAACAAACATTTACTAGTACCATAGGTGTGATCCCGGGTGAGCCATGTAACCTTCGTGGGCCTGTTTCTTCTTCAGTAAAATAGAGATAATAGTATCTACTGGGTTGTGAGAATTAAACGAAATAACGCATCTACAGCGCTTAGTATAGTATCTGGCACACGGCAACCGCTCCACGGTAAGCTAAATAACGAGGGAAGGAGCCTCATCCGTCCCTCGCTAGGCCTCGGTTCACTCCTGCAAAATGAGGGAGAGAGACAAGCGGGCCCCTGCCGGCCACGCTCCGCGCCTCATGCCAGCACCACGGCGCGGGCCGTCCGCGCGGTATCGTCCGCATACCCTGCACAGCCCCCTGGTCACCCTGGCCACAAAACCCTCCGGAGCGGGGGTCAGTAGGGAAGCCCTGGCCAGGCCAGCCGCACCAGGACAGAGAGCGCTCACCTGCAACTTCTCGCGCCACCCTTTCAAGTGCCACGCAGGACCCGGAAGTAGTTCCCCTGGTAGCGGAAGCATAAGCTCTGAGCTCGGAAGATCGTGTAAGGCGAACATGGCGTTGGCGGTGCTGGCGCTGAGGACGCGGACAGCTGGTAACGGACGCTGTTGGGGCGGAGTGCAGCCCGAGCCCCGAGCCCGGGGGGGTGGAGGCCATTCCCCGCGGAGGACCGGGCGCGCGGGGGAGTGTGCGGGGCACAGTACTTAGAGCGCGAAGCTTGAGGGGCGGCTGTCGCAGATCACGTGACACCTGTAGGGGCCGGTACCGGTGGGGGGTGGGGGGGTTCGAGGAACACATGATATTTGGTCTTTCGCGCACGTATTGCTTTCCTGGCGCTTGGTGACAGCAACGCACTGCTTCCTGTCTCTGGCTCTGTGTGGATCCTTTCATCTATTAAATAGGCTGATAATACACTGTAGCTCAAAAAGTAAATGCATTCATTCAACACATTGAGGGCTTATTTTGTGCCAGACACTGTGGTACGTGTTGGGGATCCCAACAGAGAACATGAAGACGAGATCCCTACCTCTTGCAGGATTTTTTCTAGTGGGTGAGCCAATAAATAAGTAAATGAATAAAATAGTTGTAAGTGAAGATAAGTGAAGGAGACAAAAAATTAGTGTGTATCTTATTTGAGATTGGGTGGTCAGGGAAGTCCTCTAAGGAGAACATTTAAGTTAAGACTTAAAGGATGACAAGAGGCCTAGGCCTGTATAGAGTGAGAGCCAGGAAAATGACTTAATTCGCTTCTACATTTTGAGAATCAAATGTTGCTATTGTGTGGGTTTAAAGAGGATAGGAGTGGAAATGAGGAAACCAGATGGAAAACTTATAGTAGCCTCAATGAGACATGATTTAGCCAATATGGAAGAAGTGGCAGTGAACTCAGAGGGAAATGGATGGATTTGAGATCTGTTTTGGAGATAGAATCAACAGAGCTTGCTGGTGAATTGGATATGTGAGGTGAGCACAAGGGACAGAATGTGCAATGACTCTTTGGTTCCACTTGAGTAACTGGGTAGATGGTGGCACCATTTACTTTGAGGAGGATGGGAAGTAAGGCAAAGATTTGTGAATGGGATCATGTAGGTAAATCATAAGCCCAGTTCCTGAACTTAATGGGTGAATGAATGAATTAATAGCTGTTTAAAGGTAAGTAGGTCCCAGTGCTGGGCATTCACCAAGTTCTTACCTTTGGTCCTTTGCCCCAGCTAGTCTCCGGTCCTGATTAACTGTATTGTGTCTGGAGAACTGAAGCCAAGGACTGCCAGCCCCGGGCTTGTCATCTTGGTTAGTAGGAATTTTAGTTCATTTTCCTTTTTAAAATTAAATGCCATTGAGCACTTTGGAATGAGTATGGAGATATCATATTAATAAGGGCAGGCTGTTGGTCTTCTCAGTTGGACTTCTGTTTGATGGGCTTTGGGAAGAAGTTCAGCCTTCTGAAATGGCCAGGAGCTCGTGGGAGCTGCCCTCAGACAAGCTGCCCTTTTTGTTTACAAGTATCTGGTGTGTTGGTGTGCAGTGAATGGTGGATAGCTCAAAAAGGAGCCTGTGGTGAGTGAGGCCAAAGTAGCAGCCGCCCTCTGAGTGTCCTGCTGCTGGGCTTTGTGGTCTTGCCTTGAGGGCATGATGGTGAATAAGGCTGAAGCAGGCTGCTCCCTGGTGTTCTCTTGCTGGCTTCTGCTATTTTTGTGGTGTTTCTTTCCTCTCTGCCAGACCAAATGCGTCAGGACTCAGGGCACGTGGTGTTTGTTTGTTTATTTTTTCTGTTTATATTTAACTGCCTCTTTTACCCCTACCCCCACCCTACCTCACCCAGTGCTTACACCATGACGATATAAGGAATGAATTGTCCCCTTGGAGAAGGCCAGGGACTTCTAGACACTCCCTGAAAATCAACACACTCAAGTTGCATTTCTGCTCCCCCATCACATCTTCCTTACCTCCACTGCCACCTCTCAGCTTAGCAAATGGCCCATTGAGGCCGAGAAAGAGTCTGATTGGGAGCCTGTCTGTCTGAACAGTGTTTCTGTTACTCTTCTGCTGTTACAGCCCTGTTGAGCCCCACTCAGGCCACAGCTCTTGCTGTCAGATATGCTTCCAAGAAGACAGGTGGCAGCTCCAAAAACCTTGGTGGAAAGTCTTCTGGCAGACGCTATGGCATCAAGAAAATGGAAGGTGAGAATATGCCTTGGCTTCCATTTCCCAGCTACACCTACCCTGCTGCCCCTGGTGTTTCTTAGAAGAGCAGAGAAACCAGGCAAGCGCCTGGCTCTGTACTCTCAGTTTAGCCCACCAGAGCATTTACCTCTGGACTAAAGGGGCAGATAAGACCTGAGGAGGAGTAGGGGGCCGTGAGGAGGGATGGGTAGGTATGAACTTTGTCTTTGTGACTGGAGAAAAGAGGGTTGGAGGACGGGGTAGGGCTGCTTGTATTGGACCATGTGGGAGTTGTTTCTGGCCGGGGGTGGTATGCAGCATTTGAGCCAGAAGGCGAGAACTATTATGTTTTCTTAACGGTGTGTTGTGCTCTCCCAATAACTGGGACCAGAGTCAGCAAACTTGTGGACTTTTCTTCTAGGTCACTACGTTCATGCTGGCAACATCTTGGGGACTCAGCGCCAGTTTCGCTGGCACCCAGGAGCCCACGTGAGTTGCTCTATGGTCCCTGTCTTGGTCATCTAGTGCTGCTGTAACAAATACCACAAGTCGATGGCTTTAACAAAGAGAAATTTATCTTCTCACAGTCTAGTAGGCTACAAGTCCAAATTCAGGGCATCAGTTCTAGGAGGAGGCTCTCTCTGTCAGCTCTGGAGGAAGGTCCTTGTGATACATCAGTCTTCCTTGGTCTGGGAGCATCTCAGCACAGGAACGTCAGGTCCAAAGGACGTGCTCTGCTCCCAGCACTGCTTTCTTGGTGGTATGAGGTTCCCATGTCTCTGTGCTTGCTTCTGTTATGTCTCAAAAGAGATTGGCTTAAGACACTACCTAATCTTGTAGACCTCATCAATATAACTGCTGCTAATCCATCTTATTACATTATAGTGATAGCATTTACAACACATAGAGAAATCACATCAGATGATAAAATTGTAGACAATCATACAATACCAGGAATCATGACCTAGCCAAGTTGACAGATATTTTTGAGGGACACAATTCAATCCATGACAGTCCCCTTTTTTTTTTTGCTAAGACCACTTCTCTCTGCTCTTAACGCATAACAACAACAACAACAACGGCATTTATTAGGCCCTTACCAAACGCCAGGCATTGTGCTGAGCTCCATGTCTACATTATCTCATTTCATTCTAACCCATCCCTGTAAGGTAGGTATTGTCTCCCTTTTACAGGTGAGATGTCAGAGGCAGAGCTGGGATTTGCACCAGCGTTTTGCTGGTTAGTAGAGAGTAGGCTTAGTGTACAGTTAGGCTGGTTCTCCTTTATAACCCCCAGTTCTTGGAGGAGGAGATGCCTAGTGATTTAAGATTATTTTTTGAATCATGAGAAACTAATTTCAATTTATTTATTTTTCCTTATTTCTAAGAATTCCTCCTTTGCATAAACTTGTTATTAGATGGTTTAAAGATAGCTTGAATTTAATAAAATATAATTCAGCGTATGTGCACCAGAAGTTTGGTCCATACCAGGCAGGGATTTCAGTTTCAGCAAGTTGGGATTACTTTATGAAGTAGGAAAGTTCTTTGTTAAGACAGAACTCTATTCTTTTTGTTTTTTTATTTTTTAATTTTTATTTTCTTTTTCAATTCACTTTTTTTTTTTTTAATTGTACTTCAGATGAAGGTTTACAGAACAAATAGTTTCTCATGAAACAGTAGTACACATTGTTTTATGACATTGGTTAACAACCCCACGACATGTCAACCCTCTCCCTTCTCGACCTTTTCTTTTTTTTTTTTGGTGAACATATACATAGCGAAAGATACACCATTTCAAAAATTTCTACATGCACAGTTCAGTGACATTGACTATGCTTTTCCAGTGGTGCTGCTATTCTCACTTTAGATGAAGGTTTACAGAACAAAATAGTTTCTCATTTAACAGTTAGTACACGTTGCCCTGTGACAATGGTTGACACCCTCACAACAGATCAGTACTATCCTTACTCAACTTTGGGTTCCCTATCACCAGCTTTCCTGTCCCCTTCTGCCTTCTGTCCCTTGTCCCTGGACTGCTGTGCCTCATTAGTCCCATTTGGTTCAGAACTCTATTCTTCACATTATTTCAAATGTTAGTTTAGTTTCCTTTGTAATCAATTTGCCCCGCCACTCACCTTTTTTTGGGTAATTTTAGTAGACACAGAAAGGCTGTTATAACCTGTAATTATTTCAAAGATGCTAAGTTGTATGTGGATTGATTGTAAATATAGTAGCTTTTTTTTTTTATAACTTGAGATATCGGTAGTTAACTCTCTGTACTTGCTAAAATAACAACAACAATAAAATTAACATTTTTTGAGCTAGGCAGTATTCTAAGCTCTTTGTGATTATTAACTCATTTAATCCTGAAGATGACCCTATAAAGTAGTTAATACTGTATCCATTTTGCAGATGAAAAATCTGAGACATAGTGAAGTAAAGTAACTTGCCCAGGATCACACAATAATAATAGTAGTGCTGGGATTTGAACCAGACATCCTGGCTCCAGAACCAGAGAATAGTGCTAGACTGCCTGGGTAAAAATAATGTATCTCAAGTTCTAAGAAAAATAAAGCTAAAATCCATACAGTTTTAAAAAACTACATATACATATGGGGGACCCTGGTGGCGCAGTGGTCGAGAGCTATGGTGTGCTACGGCTGCTAATCAGACAGGTCGGCAGTTGGAGTCCACCAGCTGCTCCTCAGAAACCCTGTGAGGCAGTTCTGCTCTGTCCTATAGGGTCCCTCTGAGTCAGAATCAACTTGACAGCAGTGGGTTTTATATACACATATACAGCACACAGTTACTTAACCTCTTTGCCTTGTCTTTCTCATCTGTAAAATGGGGTTGGAAATAGTACCTCTCACTAATTCTCATGAGGTGAGAATTAAATGAGTTGATGTACATAAAAGTGCTGGGAAAAGCGCTTACACGAGTAAGCACTATGTAAGTATTAGCTAAACTTATTATTGGAAACCCTGGTGGTGTGGTGGTTAAGAGTTCAGCTGCTAACCAAAAGGTTGGCAGTTTGAATCCGCCAGTCGCTCCTTGGAAACTCTATGGGGCAATTCTACTCTGTCCTATAGGGTTGCTATGAGTCGGAATCAACCTGACGGCAACGGGTTCTGTTTCGGTTCGGTAATGTTATTAGTTTATTAGCATATGCATTATTCATATAGCTTTGGTCTGTACTTTCCATAGAGCCTAAACTTTATAGATCATTACGTAGATAAAAATGTATTCCAAACTAGGTTTAATATGACAACTCCGGTATTGAGTGAAGACAGGCTCCCAGAGGCAGTGATTTGGGGCTTCTTCCTGGGCCCCTGTTGGGATCTGTCCTGTGTTTCTTGTGCCCAGCTGCACAGATGTGGCTCTGCCTCTCAGCCCTCTGGGACCAAGCAGCCACCAGGATTGGCTATTGGAGTTTTCTTTCCCTTCTATGTCATGGAATCAGTAAAGAAGCAGAAAGCAAGGAAGTACCAGTCAGTAGTAAAGGCAACCTATGGTGGAGCTTTTGGAACCCTCGTCTTTGGCCCCAGAGCCTAGATCCTTGTGAGAAGTCTGTCCAGAAGCCCTGGGATGGACCACCTGGCTGTCTGTCCAGCTGACCTGGTCTGTGTGTTGCAGGTGGGGCTGGGGAAGAAGAAATGCCTGTATGCCTTGGAAGAGGGGGTAGTCCGCTACACTAAGGAGGTCTATGTGCCCAATCCCAGCAATGCAGAAGCTGTGGATCTGGTCACCAAGCTGCCCAGGGGTGCTGTGCTCTACAAGACTTTTGTCCACGTGGTTCCCACCAAGCCTGAGGGCACCTTCAAACTGGTAGCTATGCTTTGAGCTCCTGGTTGAGGCTGTTGGACAGACACTGGATCCTAGGTGCCAGGAAAGGACAGTACCAGAAGAAGTCAAGGTTTGGGGATGACGACAAGGCCTCCCAAGGAAGAGGTCTGCTTGATGGTGACTCTGCAGGAGCTCTGTGAAGTGACTGGCTGGGAAACCCTTTGGGAGATCTAAGCTGGGGCCAGAAATAAAGTTCGTTGGAGTCATGAGTCTGTGCTGTTTGGGGACACCTGGATGGAGCTGCTTACTGATTTGTTGGTCCTTACTCATGTTCTCTAGTGCATATCAAGGGAGAACCTGGAAGCAGGAAAGCAGGCCTATCAGAGTGAGGAAATGCGAGGGGGCTCTCTTTGGAGGAGGTGATTGTTTTGGCACCATCCCCCAGAAGGGAGGGAAGAAGAGAGCTTATGCTGGAGAGTGTCCTGCTACTTCCTCTCCTGGATCACACACAAGTTCACGGGCCAGGCCCTGGGAAGAGTGGGTGGGAGAAGGCCTGAAAAAGAAGTGACAGTCATGCTCTTTTTCTGGAGCCATATTCAAAGGAAGCTGGGGCTGCAGCCCCAGAGATGGCCATATGGGAGACCCCTCCCTGCCTCTGGAGGTCCAGGCAGGAAAGAAGCTTGTAGAATGCAGGAGACCCTCCTGAGAGGCTTAATCAGGCTCCATCTACCCTTGGAAACAGTCCTCCGAAGGTGAGGCAGAATGGGTGACAAATGGGCTTCTTGCCACCCACTCAGACAGACACCATGGCCACATTCTCTCTGGTTCTTGATTTATCTCAAACCATAAACAGCAGCAAAGAATCTGGCTTTAAGAATACTCAGTGGTGGCCTAGAGTGGGTTGGGGGCAGGCTTTCATTGTCAGCTCAGCCCAGGACCTTTAGAGGCTTGGCTTCAGAGTAGAAGGGCCAGGAAGGAAGTCTCAGCTGGGGAGATGGTTGTTCCTGGCCATTAGAGGTAGGCAGTGTTGGTTGTAGCCTGAGAGAGGGCTTCTGGAGCCCAGTGGCTTCCTTTCAAGGACTCTGCTCTGCCCTGAGGGCAGAGACCCCAGGGATTGAGGGCAGAGAAGTCTCCCAGTTCTGGAGGTCTGCCTTGAACTTTTTGCCTTGTTCTCTCAGGGCATGACCCCAGATTCCCCTCCTCCTGCAGATCCTTGGCAAAGGTGACTCAGGGTTTGTTGAGGTTCAGTTTGTCTTCCTTCTTTGTGGAGTCACAGGTACCAAGGCCCAGCTGGGCTGGTCCTTAGGCAGGGGGAGACTCCACAGGCTTAGCGCTGTCCCTGCCAGTCCCCTGGAGGTGTGGGAATGGGCAGGATGGAGGTGGTGGTTCCCTTCTACACAGTGGTGTTTCCTTGAGCAGGGCAGATGGCTGCTTCCTGGGTTGGGTAAGCAGAGCTATGGTTGGATGGTGGTGCAGGTAGTGACCTCAGGGCCTCCTCATAGCTTGGTGGTAGCTGGAGGGTTGGGAGAACAAAGACATTAGCCACTCCCTTGCCCTCCCCCATACTCACATGCCCTTTATTTGGACTGCTGCTGTGTGTCTCCTGTCCCTTCCCCAATGACTGGCCCTTCCTGGAAACAAGTCCTAGGGCTGTTGGCTCCATGGTACCCCTCTGTGGGAGCCCATCCCAAGCTGTAGCGCAGGCCTCCTTAGGCTGGGCTCTGCCACCTTCCCTCGCCCAAATAGATGAAGTGGATTGATGGGGGCCTCCAGCCAAATTCTGGGGTGCTACATCAGTGGCCTTTCCTTGTCTTGACCCCAGAGGCTCTAATTGGACGTTGTGTGTGTAAAAGAGTAATAGAAAAAGAACTCCTTCATCCAGGGCACACCAAGTCACCTCTCTCTGGGCCCAGTGCCCGAGGTGCTGTGCAGTCAATTGGTGAATCTGCTGCTGCTGCTGGTCCTTCCAAACGCTCTCATAGCTGGGCAGGCAAGCTGGCTGCCACTGGGGCAGTTGATAGCTGCTAGGCAGCCCCACACAGAATACCTCGCAACCCTGGGGGTAGCCTGTGACCAAGAAATGCTAAGGAAGCCAGACAGGCATGTTTAGCCATTATCCAGCTTCGATTTAGATCCTCTCCCCGAGAGTGAGCCTAAGATCCAGGTACCACACTCCTTCCTCCCTTCCAGGAGGCCTTTCTAGGCCTCGTCCTGTCCTTTCCCCTCCCCTGCATTTGTGTTTACATAATCCTCCTAACCACACTAGGCCCCCTTGACTGGCTTCAGGACCTCTGCACACACCTCTTCCGCCATTCCCAGGTGACAGCCCCAGGGGTCCTCTTACCTGCATTCCCTGGGACTCTCTTCTCCTTTCCACTGTCTGGACCTCAGTGGGGGGGCCCCATGGTGCTGAAGTGGTTGGGGGTCATCCAAGGGATCATGAAAGATGACTGAAGGTGAAGCTCAGGATAGTGAGCAAGAGAGCAGAGACCAACCTTTGTTGTCTCCTATGCCCCATCCCTTTAATCCTCTCTACCTAGTCCAAGACACAAAGCTCAGACCCTCAGCATTTCTGAAACACACTTGGCTGTAAAGAGATTCCACTCTTCTGGCCACTAGCTCATTGTCTCATGATTGGGCAGCCAGCTCTGATGACCTTTGTAGGGAGAGTCAGAGAAAGCCTCCTCCTCCTGTCCCCACCCATTCATCCCCAGCCTGGTGCCCAGAGCTAGGGAGCCAGAGCCTAGAGAGGCTGCAGCTCAGAAGATTGCTTTTGCTTTCTGTACCCAGGATTCCATATGGTGCCTAGTCCCTGGGGAGAGAACTGACAGTACTGGAGTTGCCACCTACCCCCTCCCACAGAAGTTGGGCTCTTCCCCTGAGAGCTAGGGAGAGGGAGGGCCTCCAATTGCTTGGAGAGCTGGGAAAAGACCATTGTCTTCACTGAGTTCCCCAACAGAGCCTAGTTTTACAATGGTCAGGGAGGGGGCTGGCCAGGATGTTATTAACCCTTTCCACACTGCTGCCACGGCCCCAAGGGAACCCAGGCTAGAAAATGTGGAGTCTAGAGAGTGGAGAGTCCAAAGGCCCCTTCCACATGGAAAAATTGCTTCTCCTTGGCCAGAAAGCATGTGTCTTTTTGACAGAATTTGGGGGGAGGGGGCATGAGGCAGGGGTGGGTGAGGAGGGGAGGGGTGCTTACATATTGACCAGGGCTCTGGGAGAAGTGGTAGGAGCAGAGGAGCTGGCAGCACTGGGAATCCCGCTGGTACAGCAGCAGCAGCAGGACGGCCATGATGAACACCAGGGACGAAACTACCCTCCCTGAAAGGCAGTCAGGGCTGCAGCCTGAACCTGCATGCATGGGCACCTCTCTCCTCCCCAGATTGAATTCCGTTCCAGAAGTTGGAAGAGGAATGACCTGGTTGGTTTTATCAGCTTGGTAAGCAGGGGAAACTGAGGTTCAGGCAGCAGAGGGCTGAGCCCTGGGCTCCCTTCTTTCTGTTGCATCAACTCCCTGTGGCAGATTTGTCAGGGAGAGCAGAGGACCCCTACCCATCTCCCGTCAGCCTAGGGAAGGAGTGATGTGTGGAAGTAAGACTTTACTGAGGAAAAGCGTTGGGAAGGGAACAAACTTGTGGGCACACACCCTTAGAAACAGTGGTTCTGAGGAGGCAAAAGAGGACCCAAGGGCCTGGTGCCCATCATAGACTCCTGCCATCATGGACTGTGGCATCAGAGAACTGAGCTCCGACAGGGAAGGGACCTTGGGGGTCACAGGCCAGCCATACAGCATTCTTCCTCAGGGCTTGGGGAGGGATGTTGCTGTAGGTGACCCTATAGATGAGAGGCTGGGCTTCTGGCCTCTGGTGAGGGGCCAAGGGTGCCTCTGTCCCAACCCTGGGACTCAGCAGTAAGTACTCTCCAGTGGCTCCAGCTATTGCTAGAGGGTGTTGTCCGTGGTGATGTCTGCACATGAACAGCAGTGGCAAGGGGGTGCCAAGAAAGGGCATTGGCCTTGAGGAGCAACAGGGCCAGCCCTCCCCGGGGGCCACACCCCAACCTAGAACTGTGGCCCAGACGGGAAACTTCATTCAGAGCCAGGGTATCTGTGAGCAGCTCTCAGCCTCTCCCACTCCTGCTTGTCTTGGTCAATACCCAGCTGTGACCTCGACCCCCATAGATGGCTCTTCTCGCTGCATGCCTTGCAGCCACCCAGGGGTCCCTCTACACCTTTCAGGAGGAGGGGTTGGTGGGACCAGGCTTGACTTCTGCTGAGCCTTACACACAGCCAGGAGAGCTCTAACTTGCCCAATACTCTGCACTTCTCCATCCCAAATCCCCTCCTGCCTGACCCTGCCCACCTTCACTTCCCATTGGCCTGGGTTCCAGGCACCAACTGGCTGTCCTCTGATCTTGGCTCCCACCTCTAATGGAGCAGTGGTGTCCATGGTTGCCCTGGAAACTGGGCACGTGCCGGCCACAAAATACAAAAGCTTCTCTGCCCAGGCTCTCTCCTTCCCTCCAAAGTAATTACTGTGCAGCTCCAGGGGCCCAGCCTGCCTGTGCAGGCCCCCTACCCCATATCCTGCCTGGCAGTGCCAGAATCCTGATCTTTATCCCAGGGGCCCAGCCAGGGAAGGATTTCAGAGACGCCTCAAAAAGGCCAAACCCCCAGGCTGCACTAACCCTACAGAAATATGGGGGTGGGGAACACTGCCAGGAATGCAGACTGAGAAACATCCTGAAGCTGCACTCACGCTTGCCTCTAGGTCCTGAAGTGGGGAGAGGATGGGCGAGGGGAGCCCCACCCTCAAGCCTGCCCTCTGAACCCGCCAGGAGTGGAGCCAGCAGTGGAGCCAGCGTCTGCAGTGCTTCTAACGCAGTGGGGCGAGACATGTGGCCAGAGCAGTGGGGGTCGGCTGGAATTCAGTAGCTGTGAGCCTGCCTGCAAATTAGAATCACCTGGGGAGCTTTGAAAACACACCAAGGCTGGGCTGCCTCTCAGACCAATTCAATCAGAACCCTCAGTCAGAATCATGATCCACTGGCTAATAAGTGTGTGAGGACAAAAAGGTCACAGCAGGTAACAGTAATGAGTAACCAGGGCCTGGTGTAATATGCTAGGGAGTGGTAGCGGATGAACAGAGTACACATTCCACCTGAGTTCAAAAAACACCACTTTAAAAGTGTGCTAGCCTAGCACAGCCCAGCTGCAGGCTGGGTTCAGCCCGCAGGCTGGTTT